GCCAGAGGTTCCTTTTCACAACTGCGCATGCGAGAAGACAAGGCGACTGTCCTGCAGTTTACGTAGAACTAATCAGAGCAAAGGACATGACCTCAAGCCCCGCCTACCCACCACGCCTCTGGAGTCGCCCCTCCCTCTCTGGCGCGAGCTTTCGGCTCCGCCCTCCTCCGAGCGGCCAATAGAGGGCGAGACACCTGGCGCGCGCACGCTCCCTGTAGTTTAACGGTTGCGCGAGGCGTATCTCACGGTCCTGACAGTGGCAAAGGAGCGGCGGCCAGGTAAGCAATCACGGCTCGTGAGGTGCTGCCGGCCGCGAAGGGTGAGGGCTGGGACTCAGAAGCTCTCATCTTCGAGGACTCCTGTGTGCGTGGACAGCCTAGGGTGAAGGGAGATGGCTGCCTGTGGCAGAACCGGAGAGAGCCCGCTGGCGTTCAGGGATTCTGCGAATGCGTGCGCCTTTTCTAGATTCGGCGCCCTTGAGTGACACCTGCACGGCCCAATCGGAGAGCGGCTTTCTCAAGAGGCGAGAGGGCTTTTTTTGGGTCCTGGTACCCCGGCTTCTCTTGGGAATCTCTGATGGCGGTTCACTGATCTCCCTGCGGTTCTGTACCCTCTTGCCTCGTGCCTTGACCCTATAGCTGCCACCTGTCTACGGTCTGGCTCCCACCCCGGAAATCATCCCGCCCTCGTTCCCCTCAGCCTCCAGGCAGAGAACGCCTAGTGGTTTCAAATTGGTGGAGCTTTTTTTTTTTTTTAATAATTAAGGCTGGGCTTGGTGGCGCACGCATTTAATCCCAGCACTTGGGAGTCAGAGGCAGGCGGATCTTTGTGAGTTCGAGGACAGCCTGGTCTACATAGTTCCAGGACAGCTGGGGCTACAGGGAGATCCTGTCTCAAAAAGACAAAAAATAAAAATAAATAAAAACTAGGGATTGTAGGGGGAAGGATCGAAGCATCATATTCTCTAACTGTATTCATTCTTAAGTTTATCTCAGATTGATGGCGGGTTTTTTTCCGTCTTTATTTCCTCCCCGCCCGGGAGGGGCATCTTTTGAATTTCAGGTTTTCTCTCTGGCTTTCCTGCATCCGGATTCAGTGGGAAGAAGAATAGATGACTGCAGATCCACTTCCCTAGAGAATTTTTGGTCACTTGAATCTAGGTGTTCTCATTGCCGGTAGGAGGGGGTAGCCCCTGAATGAAGGAACCAGGGCAACTCCATTTTGTACAAGCCATGTCAGCCACAGTAAGTTTCTGTTTCCCGGAACCATAAATTACCATTTACAGGAAACTGGCTGTTAAGATTAGATCAGCACCGAAAGTCCCCAAACCCAGGCCCACCAATCAGGGAGGAACACCACATCTGGCAGGGGAGATAATGGTCAGAGTCTTTGAAACATATTAACCCAGAGAAATTTGGCCAATGAAATACAGACCCGTGGTCTGACCACGGGAACTAACCAATGAGAATAAAGGGCATGGCTTTTGTGGTTTTTCCCTGTAAAAATGCTTGTTAACTGCAAACAGGGCTCGACTCTGCAATCGGCGTGAGAGTCACAGCCACAGCTAGCTGGAATAACTAATTTTTTTCTTAAATAAAACTTATAAATTTGTTACTGTCTTTCTCTAGTTATTCCCAACTCCTGGACCCAACATTTTGGGGGCTCGTCCAGGATTTGGGAAAATTGGGATAGACACCTGGAGATGTGCGCACACCCTGAAGCTAGCCTCAGTAAGTCACTTTCTGTTTTTAAGGTTTTTTTTCTGGTGTCCAGATGTAAAACTGGGGCTCAATTGGGATCAGGCGGATGTGCTATTGATCCCCAAGTGGGAGGAGATTAGGGAATGCCCTAATTCTTCCTCAGGCAGAGGACAGGTTCTACCTAACCTCTTCGGGTCAGGAACAGGAGCAGACTGACTCAGCCCACTCCGAATTGATACTTTCCTCTCGGCAAATCCGCCCTTCTCAAACTCTGACTGACTGTTGTTGGCAATTTGGTTTTCTGTTCGCTCAGTTGATTCTCTTTTATCTTCGTTTCCTTTCCCCTCCTAGTCTATCTTTCTTCCAGGATGGGGCAGCAGATGTCCTCCAGTTCCCTAGACTTGGTCCTGGGCCACTTCTTGAACTTTTGGAAGGCGGCCTCCACCATGTCTAGGCTCCGAGTCAAGCCTGGCTGCCTCTGGCCATTCTGCTCCCTCAATGGCCATCCTTTAATGTGGGATGGCCCCCAGAGGGTTCGTTCAACCTAACCCTTATTTACAGAGTTAGAGTTCATGAAGTTGTCTTTGGCATGCCTGGCCACCCTGACCAAATCCCCTACATCTTGGGCTGGCGCTATCTGGTAACGGACCAGGGGCCCTAACTGGTTGCACCCATTCCTGCCTGTTAGATCCCAAAGCTACTGTGACCCTCCTCTGCATCAAGGAGAGAGACTGACAGGGACCCCCTCGGCCCTCGGTTCTTCCTCCTCAGCCCTTGGTTCTTCCCTCCTTGGCGCCAGAGGAAAACTTTTTCCCCCTGCTCTATGCTGTGCCCCCTCGGCAGAATGGGCACCAAGAGGGCCGTCACCAGGCACCCTGTAGGCCCCGGTCCCTCTCTTCGCAGCCAGAGCTGCCAGAGAACCAGGCTGCATCATCTTCTGATTCCTCCCGATCCTCATCATCCCTGGCTCCCCTGCCCAACCCCAGCCTGCTTCATACCCGCTGGAAAGGTCGAGACAGGGTTGTCAGGGCATTGCTCCTGAGGGAGGTAGGTCCCCCCATGAACATGGAGTAGCCCCCCTGGCCTACTTCCTCTTTTCTACCAGTGATCTGTATAACTGGAAATTACAAACCCCCTCCTTCACAGAGAAACCCCAAGCCCTCATAGCCCTCCTGGACTTTTTACTCATCAGCCTACATGGGATGACTGCCAACAGTTACTACAGGTTCTTTTTACCATGGAGGAAAGAGACTGTATTAGAAGGGAATGTCGCCAGCTGGTCCCAGGGGATGATGGACGCCCCACAGACAATGAAGATATTATAGCGGCGGCTTTTCCTCTCTCCTGGCCTCCCATGGGATGGAAGGTAGGGAGCTCCTGAAGGTCTATCGCCAGACTCTTGGGGGGGGGGGTCTCCGAGCTGCTGCAAGGTGGCCCACGAATTTTTCCAAAGTGAGTCAGGTGATACAGGAAAAGACAGAGGCCCCGTGGGCATATTTAGAGTGTCTCCTAGAGGCCTACAGGACTTATACTCCCCTGGACCCTGAAGCTCCTGAGAACCAAATGGTGGTCAGTATGGCCTTCGTGAATCAAGCAGCTCCAGATATTAAAAAGAAACTCCAGCCACTGGAGGGGTTTGAAGGTAAAAATTTATCTGAATTAGTTGCAGTTGCCACTAAAGTTTATAACATTAGGGAAACTCCAGAGGAATGGCAGACCTGGGGGCTGGACAAGATATTGTTGGCTGAATGAGGAAGACCCCCTAGCCTAGGGCTGAGAACCCAGGTGTCAGGAACCAGATCTCCCAGATGGGGGAATGGGGGCCACCCTCCCCTCAAGAAGGATCAATGTGCATATTGTAAGGAAATTGGCCACTGGAAGGGGGAATGCCTCCAAAAGAAGAAAAGGGAGGGTCCAAAGGTTCTGGAGCTGTCTGGACTTGAGGACTGAAGGGGACAGGGCTCAAGGACCCTCCACCACAGGCTCTGGGTAACTCTACAGGTGGAGGGGCAGGAGGTTGATTTCCTGGTGGACACCTGGGCTCAATACTCAGTATTAAAGAAACCCATGGGGGCGTTAACCAACAAGCACACCTGGGTTCAAGGGGCCACCGGGGGCAGCACCCTTGGACCACAAAATGGGCTGTGGACTTGGGTAACAAAAAGGTCTTGCACTCCTTCATGGTAGTCCCTGAATGCCCTTACCCACTGCTGCGCAGAGACCTCCTAACTAAAATGCAAGCCAAGATACCTTTTACTGGCGAGGTGATAATTGTTACTTCACAACCGGAGGCTTATGTACTATGACTCAATTTGGAATTCAGGATTCTCACTTCTTTGCCTACCTCCAAGCTATCCCCGATCCTAACTAAATTACAAAATCTAGTACCAGGGGCGTAGGCAGAGACTAACCCACCAGGGTTGGCCAAACAATGGCCCTTGGTGGTAGTCACTCTAAAGACAGGAGCACAGCCCTTCCAAATAAAACAGTATCCCATGACCCCTAAGGCAAAGGCAAGCATCACCAAACACATCAACCATCTTTTGAAACATGGCATCCTGGTACCCTGCCAGTTGCCCTGGAATACCCCCCTCTTGCCTATTAAGAAGCCAGGAACCGAGGATTATAGGCCAGTTCAGGACCTGAGAGAAGTCAACCGAAGGGTTGAGGATATTCACCCAACAGTGCCTAACCCATATACCCTCTTGAGCTCTCTTAGCCCCACCTTGAAAGTCTATATGGTGTTGGACCTGAAGGATGCTTTCTTTAGCCTAGCCCTTGAGTCCAAAAGCCAGCCTCTCTTTGCCTTTGAATAGGCATGATCCGGACTGAGGACTCAGTGGCCAGCTCACTTGGACTCGGCTACAACAAGTATTCAAGAACTCTCCCATCATCTTTGACGAGGCCCTCCACCAGGACTTACATGAGTACTGTGCCTCCCACCCAATATGTAGATGACCTTCTACTTGCAGCACAGGATGAGATCTCCTGTGAGAGAGCCACAAGGGACTTGCTTCAAGCCCTAGATCAACTTGGTTATAAAGTGTCTGCTAAAAAGGCCCAGCTTTGCACCTCACAAGTGACCTATTTGGACTATATTTTAAAGGAGGGCCAACGCTGGCTGTCTCCAGCCTGCAAACAAACTATTCTTGGCATACCTACCCCGAAGTCCAGGAGGCACCTCTGGGAGTTTTTGGGATTGGCTGGGTTTTATACACTCTGGATCCCAGGATTTAGCCAAACCCTTATATGAGGCAACTAGAGGGACAGAAGAGTCTTCGCTGGACAGATGAACAGGACCAAGCCTTCCAGACCCTTAAAGAAACTTTGTTAAAGGCCCCCACTCTGGCTGTGCCCAATATCAACAAGCCGTACCAACTATATGTAGATGAGAAATTGGGAATTGCAAAAGGAGTTTTGACCCAGCAACTAGGATCCTGGAAAAGGCTGGTGGCTTACCTAGACTCTGTAGCAGCTGGGTGGCCCAGTTGTCTCTGCATTATTGCTGCAACCGCACTCCTGGTCAAGGATGCCAACAAGCTGACTTTGGGTCAACCCTTAACTATAACCACCCCTCATTCTATCGAAGGGGCACTCAAGAACCCTCCAGATTGATGGATGACGAACACTAGGCTGACCCATTACCAGGCACTGCTCCTTCACCCCCCTCCCCCACATAAGATTCCTCCCTAGTGCTTCCCTCAATCCAGCTACCCTGCTGTCTGATCCAGAACCTGAGATTCTGCATGACTGCACCGAGATCCTGCACTAGATACACGGAATCAGACCGGGTCTGACAGATGTGCCATGGAAAGATCCAGATGCCACCTTCTATACCAATGGCAGCAGCTTCATGAGGGAGGGAACCAGGTACATGGGGGCAGCAGTAGTCACCTTGACTGAAATGAAATGGGCCACATCCTTGCTTGCTGGGACTTCAGTCCAAAAGGCCGAATTGGTTGCCTTAACCAAGGCCTTACATCTGGGAAAAGATAAAACTGTCAACATCTACATGGACAGTCACTAATGCCTTTGCTACAGCACACATCCATGGGGCCATCTACCAAGAGAGGGGACTACTGACAGCAGAAGGAAAAACCATCAAAAATAAACAAGAGATTCTAGACCTGCTTGCCACCCTCTGGCTTCCCCAGAAACTCTCCATCATTCACTCCAAGGGCACCAGAAGGGGGATTCTCCAGAGGCCTGGGGCAACAGAAAGGTGGACCTGGCAATCAGGACAGCAGCTTTGGAAACCACAGAAATGGTAATTGCCTTGCCAGCTCCTACCCTGCCAGAGAAGCCCATCTATTCACAGAAGGACGATGAGAACTTCACCTCACTACCTCTGTGATGGCTAATCCTGGGTGTCAACTTGACTGGATCTGGGATTAACTGAAATGAAAGAGATCTTCTTGATTGGATCATTGGAAGCTGGAAGACACACAATAAATATGAGTGAGGCCGTATAAAAGGCCAAGGCAGAGGAGAATGCCTGGCTTCTTGCTGCTTGCCTTCTCTCTTGCTGGTGAGTTTTTCTTGCTGCTGTAGACTGAAGACTAGCTGATCTTTTGGAATTTGTCAAACCTTCAGTTCCAGATTGGGACTACTGAGCCATCCAGCAGCCTTGTGGATTGAGCAACTATGGATTCTACAGTGTGGTACAGCCATTGTTGGACTACTCAGACTCTATCCTGTGAGCTAAACTGATAAATCTCTATATATATTCATTCTACCAGTTCTGTTTCTTTGGAGAACCCTGACTAGTACAGATTGTTAATAAGACCTCTTGTCCTTCTCCTCCAGGGTCCAAAGATTAGACCTTGCCTAAGTAACTGATTGTTGAACTTTGACTCAGAGACTTCAGATAGCATGGAGAGTACTGAAAATCCATGGTGTAGACTATTTGAAACAATTATGGAGATAGATCCATTTGAATCGCCTAACTTACCTCTTGTGAAGAGCAAGAAATTTAGTGACTGTATACATAAAACATTTGACAATTTGTGGAAAAATAAGAAAAATAATGATGCTGGCTGGTTACTTC